ATACTATCATTAGCATGGCAAATCTAAGATTATTAATGCAATAATATTATTATAATAGGCATGAATAAAACTTTAAGAAATAATCTGTTCTCAAATTTACTGTGTTTGACAGAATTTATTTTTTATAATAATGATTTCGTGATACGAGTCTTACTAAAAAAAAAAATGAAAGGTTGGCATTCATGGTTAAAAGACTTCCGCAGTTTCATATCTTGAACTTCCCATCTGTGGAACTCCCTTCCTCTTACTTGCTTCCCTGACAGTTATATTCTTCAAATATACAAATGTAATGTCAATCGACATCTCCTGATGCCTTGATCTAATTCCCCGTTCTTCTCTTTATCCTTCCCTTAATCACATGTCTTTACTTTTGCTCCAATTCTCTGTAACCTCTTGCGTGCTAGTGGCACTCAGTTTTCAGTTGTAAGCTCATATGGAACAGACATTTCTTTTTGAAATTTTCCCATTTAAACACTGGAATGCACTATAAACGACACACGGGCGTGAGACAAGGTTGTGTCCTCTCCCCAGATTCCTTCAACTGCTTCATCGACACTGTCCTAAGGGAACTGGGGACCCTACCAGTATTTATTGTCGGTGGGCGTAATCTTAATAATATGAGATATGAGATGACACTGTGTTGATGGCCGACACGGAAAGGAAACTACAGAAACTTATAGACTGGATGGTAGAATAATTTACACCAAGTAAGGCGGGATGGTGGTTAAATGAGATTTTTGTTTTGGAGGTCTCAAAATTTACAACGCATTTCTTCTCCCCGTTAACCACTTATTGGGTATCCTTTCAAGAACAGCAGCCAGGTATACTTTGTCAGCTCTGAAGAATTAGCTATTGAGACAGGAGTAAAAATAGTAATGTTATCTGCATAAATACCGACCTGAGAACCGATGGCATCAGAAAGATCATTGATGAAGATTAGAAAGAGCGTAGAACCAAGGATAGAACCTTGGGGGGGGCACCCACGTTCGCGTGAAAGAATCTGGAACCGAGCCAATTCATCTCATGATTTGAAATAAACGATTGGATTATGTTGAAACTTGACTAATGAATGCAATAATAATACAACACAAAATGTACTTAGAACAAAATGTATTGAAACAAGAAAGTGTACACAATATTTACATATAGTCTTTTGTATATTCTTGGGGAAGACCGTTCCTGGAGAATGTGTTGACTTAGTCGCAGTCGGGCAGAGTTTCTTGATTCCTTCCCCCGTCTTCCCGGTACCAACCATATTTATATGGTCGGTACTCCACTATGCAAATTAGGTGGATCCTACCACAACAGATTATATCAAACTATCGTCCTCTAATACCGTAGCTCTGAAGCTTACGTAGAAGACCAGCGTGTCAACCCTGTTAAACGGCTTCGAGATATCTAGAGCCAGAGTTCGAGATTCGCCGTTATTATCAAGAGTTTCATATACATATTCAATGATGGCCGTTAACACATCGGCGGTAGACATGGCGAAACGGAAGCCATATTGTATATTCGAGATTGGGTCGTGAGAAATAAGATATTTAACACTTTTGCGTTGATTAAATCCTCGGATGCTTTAAAATAAGTAAGAGACTAATATAGCGATAGTTAGAAAGATCATAGAGTTCTCAGAAGCTCTTAAAATCAAGAGACACAGAAGAGGACACCCAACTAATTCGAAAGTAGAAAGCAACGAGACATTTCTGAAGTTTGGAGACAACTGGAACCAGCTCAATAGAACATTTCTTAAGACAGTAGCTCGGAACTCGTCTTCCCCACTCGCCTTGTATGAGTCTCGTTCGGAAATGATGTCTGAAACCAGTTGTATAAAAGATCTAGAAAGCGGCTATTCAGGACAACTTTCATATCGTAATTTGATAAGAAAGACTGAACCAGCTTAAACATTATTTTATAATTTTCTTTTGACATTATGCGAAGTCTATTTCAATTCCCTATTCTAGAAATATCTACACAGACCGTAAGAAAAATATTAACATAATTTTCTAATACACGGGGTCCTTGATTTTCGGTTCTGTTACTGCGATCCGTCGTAACACAATTTTTCCGTATAAAAAACCTATGCTAACGCAGCAGTAATATAATAATCTAGGACATAACAACACGTTTCTATGACATATATTAACATTATTAGGAATAAATATATATGAAGAGAATGAATATAATATATGAAATGAAATTAAAATAATATATACAACGAAGTGAAATTGTTTTCAATCTGCTTGTCTATCTATTAAAATTGATGTGATTAGATTTCGGTAGATGAGATAACGAAGTGTAAGGTTATTTCTCACTTGATTTACTCCGAAGTAGCATGGAATCTCTTACAAGGAAACTTAATATTGTTATGGGAGCTTACCCATAATAACATAATAGACTGTTCCATACGTAATAAATGCTGCACCTCAAGACGAAGCAGAGAGTTCAGTCCAAAGTCGGGCGACCGGCTGACCGGCTGATCGGTTGAACTCTCTGCCTGCGGGCGGGGAGGAACCCGAACTAAGCTACGCCGAGTTTCTTTCGGGGAGGTAAACCGACCCTGAACACGTTTTTACGGTTTCAAAGGGCATAGTTTTGGCCAAGGCCATGGGCTCGGAGATCCCACGTTAAACCGGCCTTGTGCCACATGATGCCCTCGTGGGCGGTGACTAAATACTGTTCAGTCTGAAGTCTGGAGTGAGGTCCGTCAGGAGTCTGTCAGTCAGTCAGAGCGAGTGAGTCAGTCAGTCGAGTCAGAGGCAGTCCGAAAGAAGAGTCGCGTTCAGACAATTAATGCAAGACATTGGAATAGTGATACTAGTCGAGACTACACTGTTTTCCCTACTAAACCTGATTGTTCGTACTAACCCTTTCTACTTCTCTGTTTGTAATATATCTGTGTTATTCCATTCCATATCCGTCTTTATTGGTTTTATCTTGGACCATCACAGTGGTACAAGGACCTGGACCATAACAAATATGTATGCATATATAAATACATGTTTTAAGAAACAGTCGAACGATTTAAGTCTAACAACCAGCTACTTTTTCCCTCTTTAGATTTGTTTTTAATAATGTTTCATTTTATCTCTATGATGATAGCTTTCCTTTTATTCGAAGCTCTGCCATCTGAAGAGGTTACACTACGCTTGGAAGCCATAATGAAGCGGGTTATGTTTCTACAAACACAACACAAACGAAACAGAGTGAATGCACAACAATCCAATATGGGGTACAACCAGAAACTGGCCCACGCGTCCTACGTCACTGATAGCGCCGCATGAAGATGTATTCTTCCGCCATAAAATGTATTCTTCCGCAACTCTGCGTATTCTTCTGCCACGTCATTTGCGTCGTATGTAAGGTGGAAACAATATAAGTCGATACAAGATTAATGGAGAATGTTTAGTAACCAATAATCATCGTATGTCGAAATTGTTGTAACCCGGGGACCTACTGCATTAAATAAATAAATAATAATAATTAATACAGCGAAGTTACTACTTTTCACTTGCTTATTAATACAGTGGAGTTTTAATAAAATATAATTAAACAAGTTAATTTGACTTATTTAGATAATTCCCCAAATTCTTTCTCGCCTCCATTCGACTAATTTATTAGTAAAATGATACGCAATCGACGTCAATATGCTTATTTTTAAATTTTGTAACTTACGAGTGAAGTTTGACAAAGCAGATATAATTTATTTATTTTAGAAAGAAGTTGAATTTAAAAATAAAACATTATCAACAGAAAAATTGCTTATATATGGCAATTTTAAAAATTTGAATCAATAAATAACACAGAAGAACTATTTAGTAGAGTATTCTTTAAAATTTATTATGCAAATTAAATATTTTCGTTAATGTTGTAAATGTCATTTCTTAATACTATATAAAATGTTCGGTAAGTATTCATTACGTGTTAATAATGCAGACGATCTTCTGGTGTACGGTTTGGAAACACAGGTTTTAGCCTGACGCAAGTTTATGAAAGATAAAGAAATGCTTTTCTCTGACTTACATTTACATATACAAGAAGAAGACATAAAAACTAATACTTGAAGGCACTGGATAACAACTCTATTTGGTTGAAGTGTTATTTACAATTTGATCGCAGAAGGCATTCTCAAAAATGCTTCCTACTCATATAATGTACTGAACTGTTAGAATAGGTTTAGCCACAAATACACGCCAGATCTTTAAATGAAAACATGTTGACCAGGGTTTATTCCATGCCATCCAATGAAGAAGTACGTGACTTAACACCTATACCCCGAAGTGTAGTCGTACAGACGTGATTGAGTTATTATCGAGTGGGCAGACTTGGGCAATCTGTCATACTGCGCACTCGGTGAATGTAAAAACGACGTTTGGTTGATGGATCTACGGTGGGCGCATACCATTGATTGGTTGAGTCTAACTAAAAAAAATGCAAAAAGAGCTTAAGTGATGAACATTCTAGTCGTGTTATCATTTTGCCAGCACACCCAGTTCATTGCATTATTAATCGATTGCAAAGTTATCATTAGCTGTCACAGATCATAATTTGTTCTCCTAATCAATCCTAAGCTTCCGAGAAATCTCAGTCGGGAGTCCCTGATTGAATAAGTTTAGGCGTGATAAGGTTCATAGGTTTTAATATAATTCTGGACATCAAACACCCATGAAACCCATTGGGCCCAAGGTTACTCATTCTCTGCCCTGTTGTACTCCTTGCACTTGGTGTGGACTGACGGGCTGGAGCATTATTGTTGATATCGTGGTTTTGTCAAAGTTTTATGCAATATACGCCATCTTTGATCTGCGGGTTAGCTAGGAAGCTCTACCAGAGGAAAGAAAGAAAGAAAGAAGGAAAGAAGGAAAGAAAGAGAGAAGTAACAAAGAAGTGAAAGAAAGAATGAGAGAAAGAACAATACGAAAGAAAGAAAGAAAAAAAATGAGAGGAAGAACAAAAGAATGAAAGAAAGAAACAAAGAAAAAAGAAAGAACAAAAGAATGAAATCAATAAAGAAAGAAAGAAAGAGTGAAAGAAAGAAAGAGAGAAAGAAAAATAGAAAGAAAGAAAGAAAAAAGAGAGGAAGAACAATAGAAAGAAAGAAAGAAAAAAGAGAGGAAGAACAATAGAAAGAACAAAAGAATGAAATCAATAAAGAAAGAAAGAGAGAGAGAAAGAACAATAGAAAGAAAGAATGAAAGAAAGAAACAAAGAAAAAAGAAAGAACAAAAAAATGAAATCAATAAAGAAAGAGAGAGAGAAAGAACAATAGAAAGAAAGAAAGAAAAAAGGGAGGAAGAACAATTGAAAGAAAGAAAGAAAAAAGAGGGGAAGAACAATAGAAAGAAAGCAACAAAGAAACAAAGAAAAAAGAAAAAACAAAAGAATGAAATCAATAAAGAAAGAAAGAAAGAGAGAAAGAAAGAAGATAAAGAAAAAAGAATGAAAGAAAGACAGAAAGAGAGAAAGAACAAAAAATTCAAATAAATAAAGAAAAAAAGAGAGAAAAAAGAAAAATTTAAAGAACAAAACAATGAGAGAAAAAAGTGAGAAACAAAAAAGGAATGAAAGAAAGAACGGAAGAAAGAAAGAATGAAAGAAAGAAAGAAAGAAAGAAAGAAAGAAAAAAAAAAAGAAAAAAAGCGAGAAAGAACAAAAGAATGAAATAAAGACAGAAAGAAAGAAAGAAAAAAAGAATGAAAGAAAGAGAGAAAATAAAAGCCTAAAATAAATAAATAAATAAAGAATGAAAGAAAGAAAGAAAGAATGAACGAAAGAGAGAAACAAAAAAGATAGAAAGAGAGAGAGAAAGGAAACTTATAAATTATCAACTGGTCGTAGCTAGACACTGCAGTAGAAATATGCATGACAGCGAATAGGTTAACAAAGATTTAGCGACATCTATTCAGAGGTTATAAAAACAAGAGAGATTCTATGACAATAACATTACCATTAACTAAAACCATCATCCTCATCATCATCCTTCGACCTCGCTTTGGTTGGTCGGAATTTTTTTGGCAATACCTTTACACACTGTTCGGCCATGTATTGTTGTCCCCACATCCCTTATGTCCAACCCTGAGTCCCGACCTATGGTGTCTGGGAAAATCAATTTTTTGTAAGAAATTTCTTCCAGAAGGATGCCATAGGAATAAGGATAAGATGATTTCCCTATATAATGAACTATAACCTTACCCTCATTACCAACACCGGTAGTAAACAAAATTAAATATATTGTTCAACAATAAATAACCCAACAAGATGGAAATACTATTAAGCAAATTACGTAATGTTTAATATAAATGTACCAACGGTAGGAATGATGTTGTTTTGACAGCATGTCTATAAAAAAGTTTGTTTTTGAAAAGATATATAATAAGGGTACTGAAAACCGTTATCATTAGAGTCAAGAGCGTGTTTATGATGAGCTTGTATAAAACCGTCATGGCCATATTTAGAAAGTTTTCTGATCGGATTAGAGAAAACTAAATATCAGGTCATCCCATAAGTTCTGTCCGAATTTTGAATAAAGAAACCAAGTGACCAAATATTACATTTAATTACAGATTCAATCAATAATGTATTTGCCCTGATTATCTATGACTTCCTTACATCTATCAGGTCATCCCATAAGTTCTGTCCGAATTTGGAATAAAGAAAACAAGTAACCAAATGTCACATTTAATTACAGATTCAATCAACAATGTATTTTCCCTGATTATCTATGATTTCCTTCCATCTATTAACAAGCTTACTAATTCCATTACTGTAAAATTCTTTTGGCTATGATTTGAAGAACTCACAAATGTCAGTTTTAACGTCTTCCTGTGTTACAAAAGCTGATTCTTCCAAATGATTCTGTAAGCTACGAAACAAATGGTAGTCTGAAGGAGTAAAATCGGGAGAATAAGGTGGATGAGGAATTTTCTCCCAACCAAGTTCTTCGTTCTTTTGTGACGTCATTCTTGCTGTGTGGGGTCGCGCATTGTCCTGGTGAAACATCACCTCTTTTCGATTCACAGGTCTTTTTTCCTCAAAGCTTGGTTCAAACACTCTAATTGCTGACAATATATCTGAGCATTAATTTTTGCATTAGATGGTAAGAATTCAAAGTGGATTATTCCTTGGCGATCCCACCAGATTGAAAGAAGAACATTTTGCCCATGAAGTTCACTTCTCGGCTGTGACTGGGGTCCTTCCCCTTTACCAAGCCACTGTCTACGACGCTTAACATTTCGATAAAAGATCCATTTTTCATCACCAGTCACAAGTCTATCCAAAAAAGGTGAAACAAGTTGGCAAGAATGGAGAGAAGAGCAGATGTCAACTCGGGATTTGAGGTTTTCAGACAATTCATGAGGCACCCATTTTCCAAGTTTAGGAACTTTTCCAAGTTGTTGAAGATGACGATGAACAGTTATATGGTTTTAACTGAGAACCACTGCCAATTCCTCAACTGATAAAGCAGGATTTTCTTCAAGGGCTGCTTCAAGAAGCTTTTCATCAAACTCAACTGGAAGTCCTGTTCGATCTTCATCTTCAAGGGTGAAATCTCCACCTCTGAATTTTGCAAACCATCTTCTGCAAGTTCTTTCATTCACACATTCCTCTCCATAAACTGAGTGAATGTTTCTAGCCGCGTCGGCTGCTGAGTTTCCTTTCTTCGTTCATTTTAACAAAAGGTTAAAATTCGGACAGAACTTATGGGATGACCTGATACTTTATTATCATAGCCTAAAAAAAAATTGTGATCTGAGTTTGAAAGCTTTCTGTTAGGGTAATAGAACACGTTTATGATCCTTTTAAAAAATAATGCCGGATAATAAATAATTGTAGTCATAATTTGTAAAGCTTTCTGATCAGGTCAGAGAAGACATTTGTGATCAGAGTGTGTAAAAGATTTATGATCAGAATTTGAAAAGATGTCTGATTAGGTTAAGTGAACATCGCGGTGTTTACTCGTTCCCCCACCAGAACGAGATGTGACACAAGGTCTTTTTAAAGTGTGGACCCGAGCGCGTACACCCGGGACAGGAACAAAAATTTCCCTCAGCCTCCTTAACTGTCGGTTGCGCTGGCCTCGGTGCGAGCACCGATCCCTCCCTCTGGTGCAATGGGAGGGCGCGGCCTCGGTCAGCTGTTCCCCAGGGCTGGGCACCTCTTCAGTATAATTTTCTCAGTTGTCCCTCTGTCCTTTGAAAGAGAAGCCATTGAGCGGACCAATGACAGAGACGGAAATGAGAGATGATAAACCCTTATGATCAGTCCTAAAAACCTTTGATTATAAAGTTCTAGAAAACCTTTATAATCAGAGTGTGTAAAAGATTTATGATCAGAATTAGAAAAGATTTCTGATTAGATTAAGTGAACTTATGATCAGTCTTAAAAACTATGCTTAAAAACATACAGCGATTGCTTGAACAGACCACAATAAAATATGCCTGGTCCGTTGGGGATAATCATTGACCCATTATTTTTGTCGTCTTTATCATTTGTTATATTGAATTAACAGATGAAGGAGATATGGAATAGAATATATTATGATTTTATTCGCCATTTGTACAAAGATATGAATGTTAATACAAAGGGAGTTAGTACCACCATGCAGCTGTTCGAAAGACAGATATGTCTGTGTTGGCCTTCCTCATAAAACGTGGAATATAAAAGGGATAGAGATGGGTTGGGTTAGTGTATGTCCTTGCTGTGAATCTCTGGATTGATGTAACGATAGAATTTTAAGGTCTCGTGTCTTAACGTCTTCATTTCCTTGCACAGGGAGAAATGATAAAAAATAGCAAGAGGTTAGCAACAGTTTTGTCTCTGGGAAAGGCGTTGTAATATTAAAAACAATTCATGGCGAACAAAACCACACGAAAGATTTTGAAGTCAGTCTAGGCTGTAAAGTGAAGATTGTGTAGCTCCAAACAGAGGTAAAATAATTAAATTCATTTAGACAGGGCAATATGCTCTGCGAGTATTAAATTTTCCAAGAACTCTTTCTTAATTTATATATCCAAGAAAATAAGTATCTTTCTACTATATGATTTCTTCAGAACTTCCTTTTTACACACATAGTCTGTCCATGTTATTATCGGAATCTGTAGACTTGCATTCGCTTTCAATTTCAGGTTCTTCATCTCTAAGTTTCAGCATTTTTATCTTTATTTCTAACGATAGAATTTTAAGGTCTTGTGTCTTAACATCTTCGTTCCCTTGCACAGGGAGAAATGATAAAAAATATCAAGAGGTTAGCAAAAGTTTTGTTTGTGGGAAAGGTGTTGTAATACTGAAAGCAATTCATGGCGAACAAAACCGTATAAACGTATAAGACCTCTTTCCTCATTGATATATCCAATCAGATTCGACTACCAGTTTTTTTAAAAAGAAATATTTTCAAGCCTCTGCTAGAAGTTTTTCGTTGCACACATGGTCTGTCTATGTTATTATCAGGATCTGTCACCTAGACTTGCATCTCTTTCGCTTTCAGGCTCTACTTCATCTGTAAGTTTCAGCATTTTTATCTTTATTTCTTACCATATATTCCTCTGTCTTCAAGCAGATAACAGGCTGCTGTTTTATTTTCTGGCTAGTGGGATTTTTTTTTAAAGAAGACGCTCGACCAAGTTTTGAAGAAACAACAGTAATGATAATCCGTGAAAAAAACCAAAAAACCAAAAACCAAAAACCAAAACTAATAATCTGGAATTGGGGTAATAGCAGTGATATTATGTACCTTGAAACCTTCATAAAACTTTGAAGATGTTGGATTAGTAAATACTAGCCACTTCCAATATCTCGTTATATGGATCACTTCTAACAAATTTAGTATTGGATATATTAAACTTGGACAAAGAATAGTCTGCACTCGGGGTGACTTTCGCCAAATACCACAAACCTTTTAAACAAACCATAACATTAATAAAAAAAACAAAAAAAACATGAGTCATGTTCTCAAAAAATCTCATTAGGTCGAGGTCTTCATATTGATGTCGTTTGGTTTATTATTTCGTTTTTTACGGTTTACCAACCCTTACTGCTTATTTTTGTAGCATACCTACGGACGATAATGGGTATGTCCCCATTCACATAAATACAGTACCAAATACTGTATGTTAATCTGCAGTTGGAGTTTCGTCTCCAGCTGTGCTGGTCAAACTCTCTGCCTCCAAGCAGAGAGTATCCTCAGACGAAGCTATGTCGAAGGGTAGAATCTCGTCTCGAGAAACAGGTACCCAACCCCGTTTTATACGGATATTTTTGGCCGAGAATATGGGGTCAGATACCCCACATTAAATTCGGCTTTGTGTCACATCTGACCGCGTGGGGCGGTTGGTAGATATCCTTTAGTTGGAGTTTCGTCTCCAATTGTACTGGTCAAACTCTCTGCCTGTAGGTAGAAAGGGTCCCCAGACGAGGCTATGTCGAAGGGCAGAATCTCGTCTCGAGAAACAGCTACCCGACCCGGTTTTATACAGATATTTTTGGCCTAGACTAGGGGGTCGGATACCCCACATTAAATTCGGCTTTGTGTCACATCTGACTGCATGGGGCGGTTGGTAGATATCCTGCAGTTGGAGATTCGTCTCCAGTTGTGCTGGTCAAACTGGAGGCAGAGAGGATCCCCAGATGAAGCTATGGCGAAGGGCAGAGTCTTTTCTCGGGAAACATCTACCAGAATCCGTTTTATATAGGGTCTACGCAGAATTTTTGGCCAAGCTTACGGACTCGGATACCCCACATTAATTTCGGACTTTTGCCACGTTCGATCGCGCGAGGTGATTGGTAGATATCCTGCAGTTGAAGCTTCATTGTGGAATTCACTTGACTCACTTCTAGCTGTTGACTACTTCTTGTACGCACCGCTGGCGAATCTTATATGTGTTGTTCTTGTCTTAAATATTATCATTCATTACCAACCCTCGGTTTATTATTCTGTTCAGTAACCATCCCTAGGTTATAACATTTATTAATGCCCAAAAATATTTTTTAGGTTGTAAGATTTTCTTTTAGATAACAATAGTTTAGTGATGAAAATTTTAATAATTAACCCATAGCTGGGGGAGAGGTGGTCGATTTTTACCTTTACCAAGGATATTTGTACGTAGGTGAATGGATGTCAAGTCCGTTGCATGCACATTTTCGAAAATTCTCTGAGGTTAGATATGAATTCATGTCTTCGTCTCCCCTAGATACGGATTAAATATTACGCCATACTGGTCTCTTTACTCTTCATTGGCGGTCAGTCTAGGAGATGGACAACTCTGAATTCAAAACCTGAAAGGATCATTTGGAGATATTGTGGAACACTCTATATTCGGTGCTTGCCAAAAGTTTTGGATAACATGACGTTGAAACACATGTTCCGGTAAAATCACTGAAGTTAAGCAACGTCCAGTCTGGTTAGTACCTAGATGTGTGACCGCTTGGGAATACCAGGTGGTGTAAGCTTGGTGGTGTGAGGGATACAATCGGAATTGTTAATCGGAGTTCCAATTCCAGTTGGGTTGGTTATACTGACTTAAAACGCTGACACACTTGGGAAATGTAAAAATCCACCTTTTCTTCCCGTAACTAAGGGTAAATTAGTAAGAGGTTATCACTAAAATGTTTTTATCTAGGAAAACTTTTTACAGTAAAAAGTTATTTTCTGGTTTCAAATAACCTGCAAAGGGTTGATAAGCCGTAAAAATCCTTATAAGTACATTTTTAATACTGGTTTTATTCCATTTTATTTTTATTGCTTTTGATATCATTATATTTATTTGAATATATTAATCTTTTTCTTGTATGTACCGTTCGTGGTTCTTCACAATTTCCTGACCCTTGTAGCTCTGAGAATCAATCAATCAAGCAAGAAAAAGTATGTCTGTTTCCTGCCCACGCCTTCCGCACTATATGTTCTGTTAGTCTGGCTATTTGGTTCTTAGAAACGATGTGCCAGACCCTCATAAATCGAAACCGGCAGGAGTCCTTCTTATATATATATATATATATATATATATATATATATATATATATATATATATATATATAGAGAGAGAGAGAGATAGAGAGAGAGGGGGGACGAGAGAGAAAAGACGGAAAGGAAACGAAAGAAATCAGATGAACTTTATTGTTACGAACAAAAGAATAAATTCCAAGAAAAATGATCAAATAGAGGTGAAAAATAAAAGGGAAAATACAAGAAAAAAATAGATTTCTCCTGAAAAAGTAATAAAATATCGTAAAGCAAGTAGCTTTTTTTTTTCGTCATTATTTATTGTTCAAAACTCATCCTAAATTTACAACAAATATAACAAAATAATAAGTGCTTGGCAAAGCTAATGTCAAATTATAAACACAAAGGATTTTATCTGACATCAACACTAATTAGGCTGATAATTAAAGAAACAATAAGAGTTGTTAATAAATTTTTTTATTGTAAGCCTAGACATACCTACAGATATTGATAAAAAGACTCTTCGATGTTCGCTCCGAAAATAATTAATCCTACTTTATAATGTTGCTTACAAAGTAAAATTAATTCTATTTTAATTAAAATTAATTAAAGTAATTAAAATTAATCCTATTTTATTACATAAAGCGGATTTAGGGAATCTATTGGAGATTAGGCGCAACATTTCTGGTTTGTTGCAGCAAGTAATCTAGTAAAATGATGTCTGACAGGTACATGATACCACTGCACTCATTACAGATTATTATTTTTTTAAAGTTTCATCTTGATTGCTTAAAAATTAACACTTGTCAGATACTAAAAGAACACTGGCCTGTTATCGGAGACTTTTATGACAGAGGAATATATAGTCAGGAAAAAAAGATAAAAATGCTGAACATTTTCCTTCGAGACAAAGAAGTAGCCTGGAAACGAAGGAGATGCAAGCTTACAGAAGGACACTGAGAATACCATAGACAGAACATGCGAGTAACGTGGAAGTTCTAAAGAAAATGCATAGTCGAAAGACACTTATAAAGGCTGTGGCAAAAATGATCTGACATATTTGTAGGTTTAATAAAAATGGATGTAGAATGCCATTTTTATTTCATTTCGCTTCAAAAATGAAATCAGTCAAATCGGTGCCATTACTTTCCACAGTCGAAATCGTTCACTAGACGGGTCATTTTATATGGAATGGCAGCAGTTTCTTGAAGAATGGTATCTTGCAATTGTTCAATGGATAGAAGGAGACCAGTGTATACCTTTGATTTCAGCTATCTCAAGAAAAAAAATCGCATGTGTTCATATCAGGTGATCGGGCGGCCCAAGCCTCTTTGGGTTGCAGTTACCGATTCGTTGTTCTTAAACGTTTTGACAATTAAATTCATGTTGACAACTGAAAATGAAATGAAACAAAATAGCATTAAATCTAAATTTCGAAAAATAAAAACAAATGTTTTGTTCACAATTGACATTGTTCGGACTATCATCCTCATTTTTGTTGCCATATTTATCACAACATTTCGGCCGTTGTACACTCCGACCTTCTTCCGGTGGCTGGAATGTCGAACTGGACCCTTTAGTTCCACGTGTCATGTCTAATGGATGTCAGTTAACTCCTGTTAATTCCCCTTTCCAAGTTCTCCATCGCCTTAACCAGGTATTGAACTCACACACAAGAGGAGGACAAGAACATTCAGAAAACAGTCTGCCTGCCTTATGTGAAGGGGTTATCGGAGAAAATACAAAGGATCTGTGGTCCATATAACATCAGGACAACCTTCAAATGCTGGACGACACTTCGCAGATACCTCTCCCGAGTAAGACAACGCATGTTCAGCATTTTTACCTTTGTTTCTGACTGCATATTTCTCTGTCTTAAAAATCTCTGAAGCAAATCACAGGCCGGTGTTCTTTAATTATCTGACAAGTGTTAATTTTTAAGCAATCAAGATAAAACTTTAAAAAACAATAATAATCTGCAATTGGAATGAGAGCAGTGGTATCATGTACCTGACAGACATTATTTTACCAGATTACTTACCTTAACAAGACCAGAACTGATGCGACCAATCACTAAAATGATCCAAAAATCCGCTTTAACGTAATAAAATTGGATTAATGTTAATTAATTTAGTTAATTTTAATTAATTGTTAAAATAAGATTAAGTTTATATTGTAGATTAACGCAATAAAATAGGATTAATTACTTTCGGAGCGAACCTCTAAGAGTCTTAAGGTTAAGGATTTGGATTTAATGCTAATCACCTAAAATCTCTCGGTGTATGTATCAATTATAACAAGATTATAACATATCGATGATAATTCGTGATTAATTTATTGATTGATTCTTTTTCTACGGCTTTATGAACTCTTTGCAGGTTTTCTAAAGCCAGAAAATATTTTTATATTGTAAGAATTTTTACTGTAATATAGTAATGGTTTAGTGATACAAGTTTACTAATTAGCCCATAGCTGAGGAGAGAAGAGGTGGATAGATATCTTTCTTGAGGTTATTTGCGCATAAGTCAATATAACGAACCCAACGGGAATTGGAAATCGACTCTTAGAGTAAAAAAATTCCGAGCCATTATCCATTACACTACAAGCATATCTAAGCTTACAGCACCTGGTATTCCCAAGCGGTCACTCACCTATGTACTGCCCAGGCTCGACGTTGCTTAACTTCGGTGATCTTTATGGGAAGCGGTGTTTCAATGTAATATGATTGCAAGCTTAATATCGTTAATAAAGAAATAGAACGAAGAGTAACGTGTTTTTGGTGTAGTTTGGTAAAACACCACAGAATGCAATAAAACCAAAATATTAACCTAAAAAATCAAGTCTAGTACTTTAATAGCAGCGTCAGATCAGGAAATTCTTAAGGAACCGCCCAAGCCGTTTCGAAATGTCTAAAGTGTCAAACCTATAAAACCGATTTCTCAGATCCCATTTTTTTTGCGATGTCAACGAACACTCGATGCCACTTTTGTAATATCAGCGAATAACCGTTGCCAGTTTCGCAATGTTCGTTGTAGCAGAGACTTCGTAATCGCAGATACAACTGTAGTAACGCCGTTGACCATACTGGTGTCAGACGCCTTCGAATATCACTCGCATTAATAGTACTTGCTCGATTATACTCGCTCGAATAGTAACCACCTAATAGTGATCCGGATAGAGAAATAGTATACTGAATAAAGTAGTGAAATAGTATAGACTAGAATATAGCGACCGTTTTTTCGTCTGCGACTTCCTGCATATATGCGTTTCCTGTATGGTGACGTGGTCTATTTAATTCTATAATGGGATCGCCTATGTTTGCTCACTGGCGATCTATGTTCAAACTCAATTGTCGACAGCGACACTTTATTCCTATATAACACTGTTTAAAAAATGGCTACGTGTGAATGAACAATTTTAGGTCTTATATAGTACTATTCTTCTATGAACCTGACGCTACAGAATCACAAAGAAGAAAAACTGTACCTCATAACATACACTTCAGGATTTTCAACAACAGCAACAAGAGGATAGAACATATAAATCGGAAAAGAAGATAATGACGTAAGAAAAAAGTTGTTGACGTCCCCACAATTTGAAACAAAAACTTAGGAAGGAAATCCCCATCAAGAATGGAAAGAGCTATAAGAGTTACTGAACTTGAAAAAATGGCTGTTCGTTCAATGAATGTATAAAGAATCAACTAATATTATTTACATTATTTACATTGCTCGGACTGTTATTCTCATCTTCAATGCCGTATTCACATTGTACCCTTTAGCCTGCTTTAGGTGATCTGAATTTAGTTAGTCAACCTGGTGTAGATTGTTCTAGTTCCACGTGCCAAGACTCTTCCGGATGTCTCGGTTATTTCCCTTTAAATTAACTCCCGAATTTGTTTGGTTCACCACAGCTGTGACCTGGTATTAAACTCACAACTATTTGGGTCTTGTCACTGGATCTACCCAGCACCTTTATCCATTGGGTCATGTGTCCAGTCACCTGAAGAAGTGCAGACGGTACAAAGGCCGAAATGTTGTGAGTCTTGCAATGAAGATCTGGATAACAGCCCGAATAATGTAAATAATGCAAATAATCATAATACCTCATCTGACAGATACAGAGAACTAATATTATTATAATTTATTCAAAATGTTAAATCTCATGTAAAGTATCAAGGCTTTAAATAGTTTATACATCTTTTTAAAAGTTTATAAACAAATTGGTTTCGTTTTTACTTTTATTCAGAAACGCATATACACCCTTGTGTAAATTAATTAAAAAAAACGCCTTAATTTTTCTTTCTTTCGCCATACGCTCAGGTAAAGACCCACTGTAGTGACAGGGTGTAATCAATTTCTATTTTTTTTTCAGATTAGGTCATTTGTAATGGTGTGCAGTAATATGAATCTATTTTCGGGGTGTATAATTAAATTTGCTTGGCCTTAAAAAATATTGCGTCATCCGTGATTGCATCAAATTTTTATCACGCCCAGACACTATTGTCCCGACTGTCGATTACTTGTCCTACGACCATTTTCTGCGATGGACGTTACTCCAAGGAAGTGTACGAACATTGTAACGTTGCATAAACACACTGACAAGCCTTAGCACTGAGCAAATCAAAGTACTATAGATTGTCCCGGAAAATCTGATTTAGATCCAATCGAGAATCTGTAGTCAGTCTGCAAGGAAGGATTTCGCGGAATGGACATATAAAGTACTAACATGTGCACTGGGTCATGTTTCATTTGAAAAATACGAAAAAGTAAATAATAAGGAGTTATTCGTTTTGTTTCAATTAATTTGCCCATGGGTGTACTATAATAGAAGCGACAGTTTGTTAAAATTCTATTGAAATTATATTATTATTTTCGGTGTTCTTACAGGTCTTTATTTAATTCCGTCTCGTTTTACGTATTACTAGGTACCAATAATGTTATACTGGAACACAGATATTCTATGGTTAATAGACTCTCCCACCTATAATAAGTAGGACTAGTAACGAGTCGCCAGTCGCTCAGTGAGTTGGTCTGATTTCAGTCTGAAGTCGGACGACCAGCTGACCGGCTGAACTCTCTGCCTTCGGGCGGGGAGGAACTCGAACGACGCTACGCCGAAGGGCGCAGTCTCTTTCGGGGAGGTAAACCGACCCTGAACCCGTTTATACGGGTTCAATGGGCATATTTTCGGCCGAGCACACGGGCTCGGAGATGCCACGTTAGACCGGCCTTGTGCCACATGATGCCCTCGTGGGGATAGGTGACTGAATATGTCAGTCAGTCGATGTCGGACGACCGTTAGTCGGATATTAAAGTATCAGCCACCACAACTAGACTGCTGCATCATTACCTATTATATCAAGTTCCTAACGTTTTGTTAATCGAACCTATTTTATGACCGACTTAGTACAAATACAAGCCTCCACTAGTGTGAAACTACTCTATAACAAATAATTAACTGGAAAAATGATAACTCAAATGCTTCCCTAGACCTTATAAAACAATATGGCGGACTTCAAATGATATCAGATAGAGCACTAGCATCTTTATATCTCTTCTACATTAGTCGAAATCAGACCAAAGAGGTCAATATTTCTGCACTAGATTAATGACATTTTTTTTTCATTTCATCCGAACAATGAGATGAAACAACTAAGATTTTACTGAGATTTTAAGAGAAAACTTTACTGAGGAAAAAGAACAACGAAAAAAAAAAAAAAAAAAACACTGGAGAAGGAAGAGAGAAGATGGATATTGACGTTGTATTTTGTTAACTCTAGCTAAAACGGAAGCAAGGAACCGGAAGAGAGTACCAGAGGTGAAAGGATTTATTTACAGCATTTCAAAATATAAAATCAGTTTTCTACGGTTTATCAACCCTTTGTAGGTTATTTAAAGCCACAAACAATTTTTTAGATTGTAATAATTTTTTGGAGATGATTGAGTGATTTAATTTTTAATAATCAACTCACAGCAAGGTTGAAGAAGTTGAGTGGTACCTTTCCAAGGGTGTTTGCGTAGAAAGTGAATATAGCGAACATGACGAGAATTTCAATGTGGATATTACGATTAACAATTCCCGGCCCATTATCCATTATTCCATCAGCAAATCTAATTTAGGGGCTGACACGGCATGACGTTGCTTAACATCGGTGTTCGTACAAGAGCCGGTGTTTCAAGGGTGATATGGCCATAAGCCATACCACTCACACATCCAAGTTTACACACTCGGTATTTCTAAGTGGTTACCGATCTAAGTACTGACCAGACTCAACATTGCTTAACTTAGATGATCGTACGGGAGCAGGTGTTTCAACGTCACTTGGCCGAAATCAATTTTTGTTGGTCTCTTGCTCAACACTATCCACACTTAATAATCAAGGTGGTTTAAGTATGTGGAATTATGATGCTTGATTAAACGGTGATGTTGTCGCAGAAATTATCTGACAGCCAGGTTCTCCTGCTTGTGTGGCATGCTGCAGAATCCTGTTGCCAAACATAGGGTCTTCTAGCAGACAGCCTCTTAGCATCACCGAAATTCTCACAAAATAATTAAGTGCCACATGAGAAAATGACTGTTAATCATTGAACATTTTAGAACAAATTCTTCATCTTGTTTAACTTTAGATGTTAGGAATTAAGATCTCTGTGGTGCTGTTCTTATAGAAGAGGAAGATTAGAACACATGTGCTTTTATTATTTGTCTTGAAGTATCCATGAAGATTGCAGGAATAAAAATAGAGTTGTTTCTTGGTCTCCAAGTTTCATGGTTTCTTCCCTATCACTGGAATGCAAAAAAAAAAAATAGCTTTCTTTTTAATTTTTAAAATCTTGTCTTAGTTCGTCAAAACAAACGCAACAGGCAATGTGAAGAACTCGTTTTTATCCTGGTCTCCAAGTTGTACGGAAACATGTGTCATAAACCTTAGTAATAAATTCTTAATAAATATAGCAAAAATGATGGGGACACTCAAATTGTAGGAAAAAGATCAGGACAATCAATCTGTAGCATTGTAAACAAATAGAGGATAAACGATCAGGACACACAATTTCTATCATTCTTAACAAAATACAGGGTTGCGATGGATAAATTGTCGTCTAAATTACGTACAACTGAATATCACACTGGCATCTCATTTTAACAGATATATTTGTCTACATACACAGAGTACATACGTACATATACAGGGTTGCGATGGATAAATTGTCGTCTAAACTACGTACAACTGAATATAACACTGGCATTTCATTTTAACAGATATATTTGTCTACATACACAGAATACATACGTTCATATACAGGGTTGCGATGGATAAATTGTCGTCTAAAATACGTAAGACTGAATATAACACTGGCATCTCAATTTAATTCATATATTTACCTAAATAAACCGAATACATTCATTCATATAAAGGTTTGCGATGGATAAATTGTCGTCTAAATTACGTAAAAATGAAAATAACACCGGCATCTCAATTTAACAGATATATTTACCTAAATACACAGAATACATACATACATACATACATACATACATAGAGTTGCGATGGATACATTGTCGTCAAAATTACGTAAAACTGAATATAACACTGGCATCTCATTTGAACAGATATATTTACCGGATTTACACAAAAATATCTTGAAATACAAAAACAAATTTATTCAATAAAAAATCGCCATTGACTTCAATCATGGCCTAGTGACGACCACGGAAACTTCTGAAAATCTTCTGCATGTATCCATTGTCTAAGTTGGTGAAAGCTGCCATAAAGCCTTCAGTTAATTTTTGGTGTTGCAAGGAGTCTTGTTGGTTTTTCGCTAAACTGTGCCCCACAAATAAGAATCAAGGTGGTTGAAGTTTGGGGAATTATGATGTAAGTGGTGAGCTGGTCGCAGAAATTGTCTGAGAGTCATGACTTGGTTCTCCTACATTTGTGGCATGGTGCAGAATCCTGCTGCTAGACGTAGGGTCTTCCAGCAGCCAGCCTCTTAACCCACTGAATCACCTCCTCCTCCTCAAAGCACTTGATTTAGGCCTCCATACTGAGACAGGCTTCCCTATGAGAAGATAAATGGAGGCATAACGTCGTCATCACAAGTGATCACTCTAATTACCTTCGTAATCTGCATTAGACTTGTCCAACGCTTTTCGAATCCTCTTCAAGGTCTTCATATTGACATCCAAACACTCTAAAATGTTCGTATTTGAGCTTTCGTCGAGAATGCACAGCAGTACAGCATACTGTTTTCAAATTTCTGTCGGTTTGAATTGTGTCATGGTGCTCTTTTTCTGACAGACAGTACCCAACTGACCCCACTTTACTGTGCAGTCGATAAAATCAAACACAAACAACGCGCATGCGCGAAATAAAAAAATATAAAATAGCGATAATTTACGCAATGTACTCTGTGTAGCAAAAAAAAAATCAGGACACACAACGTCTTAAATTTCATAAAGAATATAACAAAAAATATCAGGTTATCTATGGAGATTACTGGCGTCTCTGCAAGATTGTACTGTACATAAGAATATTTTCAATCGCCTCCCCAATCCATTCGACTTATCATAATCTACTCCGGAAGAAGCAGAGTGCTTTGGCGGGAAGTTTTCTTGCAACTCCGCATTCAACTTGTCTGGAATATCTCTGCTTGGTTTTCACCCCAGGCCAGAGTCTCTGTAATTATGTCCAGGTTTTATGCCATCATTTCTAAATTGGATCTCCACAAGCCTTGTGGTCTCGACGGCATCCCTACAATTTACCTAAAGCAAATGAGCTCCTATTTTATCAAAACTTCTTAATAAATGCCTCACTACTTCATGCTACCCAACTTGTTGGTAGACATCGTTTTTAGTTTCTGCCTTGAAGAACACAACATGACCCACTGAATTATCGCTCTATTAGCATAGTATCAACGCCGGGTTTTTTCTAAGCATTTCATCCAAAGCAAGGCGCAAGTCCCACTAGCACACAACAGAGAGTAGATGCAAGAGTAAAGAGGCGTGGTAGAAGAAAAAGACGGCAAATAGATCAAGGTATCTGGAAATGTCGATTGACATTGCGTTTGAATATTTGTAGATTATAGCTATAGAGGAAGCAAATAAGAGGAAGGAAATTCCACAGATGGGAAGTGCCAGACATTCAGCTATTGGAGTAGAAGAGACGGCTAAATTTAACCGTTTCGACAATGAAAGGGTGGGAGTTATATGCTAACCTAGTATCACGTTTAAATTCATGCAATTTGGGAGCTAGCGAAAGTAGGATATCTCAAAGACGTTCGACTGGGTTTGGCATGCTGGCCTTGTCCACAAACTCAAAATTGAACGTGTATTTGTTTTAACTCAGGCATTAATAACAAATTGTTTAATAACATGTTGAAAACAGTTCATTTGAAAATTATTCCTGGAGCTAAAACGTTAAAGACCATCATTTTCCAAACAAAAACTTTCTGCCATCGATCTGCCATCGAGCTTTCGGATCTGGTGAAAGTACCATTCAGCCGGCTTCGAATCAAAAGAATTCTTGACACGCTTCCTCGACTTCATCAAACGAGTCGAATCGGCGGCCCTTCAGAAAGTGTTGCATCGAGCGGAAAAGGCCGTAATCTGATCGAGCACAATCAGAACTGTAGGCTGGATATGGCAGAACCTCAACGCCGTCCAGCTCTTCAAACTTGTCTTTGGTCTTCCTGACGGTGTGTGGTTTGGCATTGTCCTGCTGCATCAAAGCGCGCTTTCGGTTGATCAGAGCCGGGTACTTTTCCTTCAACTTTTCGTAGACCCGCTCAAGTTGCAGACAGTAACGTTCGGCACTGATGGCACGACCATTCGGAAACAACTCAAAATGCACGATTCCTTCAAAGTTCCACCAAACGCACAACATGACTTTCTTGCCGAATCGATTTTGTTTTGGAACCGACGGTGTCTCTTGCCCTCTCTGAACCCATCGCTTGTCTCGATTGTGCTGGACCAAAAAGATCCATTTCTCGTCCGATGTCACAATGCACTTTCAAAAACGCTCGTCCAATGGATTGCTGAGCAATTGACGGCAAATTTCAACTCGTCTTTTGGCTTGTGCTTCGGTGAGTTCGTGCGGATCTTGGCGGGGCTTTTTTGTGAACAAAATCAAGTTGCTTCAAGTGTCGGTGAATTGTCGATTTGCCAACTCCAAGCTCATCAGCCAATTCTCGAGTGCTCGATGAAGGCGCAATGTCCAACCCGGTTTGCAAGTCTCCCTCATCCAACTTTAACGTCCGTCCCGAACGAGTCTTATCTTCAAGACTCATGTCGCCAGAATCGAAACGCTTATACCACTTTTTGATCGCCGCATATGCAATTGTACCTTCACCTTCGGCAGCACAAATCTCTTCTGCAGCTTTTCTGGTTGAAAGACCTCGCTCCCAGCAGTAACGAATCAAAACTCGCAGCTCAATTTTATCAATTGCCATCTGGAATACAAAGATGAAGATCATTATAACAATATAAACGCAAAAAACAATTAAATAGGCATTTTAATGCAATAGTTTTTTTTTCAAAATTAACAATAAAGTAAAAAAACAACTAAAAATTGCATAAAGATTCATTTTTTCGCAAGTGTTTACGAACTTTTGGGACAACCTAATCTTTCTAATCTTCATCAGCGGCCTTCCCGATGATGTCAGTTCCTCAACTGATTAGATTATTATTTATTTCTGTCTCAGTAGCAAGTCCGAAATATTCGACAATTCTAACTGGTAACTGATCTCAAAAAGACATCCAATCTGTGATTATCTGAATCAAGTAGTGGCTTATAAATTTTAACGGCTCCATAACGAATCTCCTTTGATTTAATCAAAACAGTTAATCATTTGTGCACGCCAGAAGAGTAGCAATTTCCGCCATCTTGGACTCACCTTTTCCACCGACATAAAATGGAGTGATTATATCGAATGATTTGCTAGTTCTGCTGCTAGTTACGTTCATTCCATGTGTCGTACGAGGCACTTCTTCACGTCAGAAACCTTCTTGGACATTTAAAAATCTACCATTTATCCGTGCGTTGAATACTGCTACGAAATATGGTCTGGGTTTCCTAATATATATCTCTAGATACTTGAGAATAATTCAAAGAAGGCTGTGTAATGCAATCAATTTTGAACTGGCATATCAACGTCTTTGCAACCAATGGGAACAAAACAGAATTTAAAATAGATGTGCCCATAAATACTAATTTAATATATGCGCATGACGTCTTCCCCAGCAATGGAAAGAAAACATATAGAATTTAAAAATAGATAACTACATAAACACTAACATCATATTATATAAGCATGGCATCTGCACAACGAATG